GAAACTGAGGCACCCACACAGTATTCAGAGAAAACATTAAGAACATCCCCAGTTCGTCACACCAGCTCACACGCTCCGTCTCTCACACCCACCACACACTCATGTCTCCCCCAGACGAGAACCAGGCCGTGTGCTGGCAGGAGGTGGGGCCGGACCTGGTCTGCAGCCGCCCGCGCCTCGACCGGCAGGTCACCTACACCGAGTGCTGCTGCCTCTACGGGGAGGCCTGGGGCATGGACTGCGCCCTGTGCCCTGCCCGAGACTCAGGTGAGGGGCCCGACCCACAGCCCCTCCCCCCCTGCTCTAGGGCTGGGCAGCTGAACTCGGGAGGGTCGCTTCAGCCCCTGCCCAGTGAGTGCTGGAGCCAGGGACCTGGGGTCCCTGCCCCACGGTTTCTACATCCCTCCCAGTGAGCGGGGTGGTTGCCAAGGGGACTCTGTGGGGCGGGGTGGCCGGGGGGCCTGAAGTGGTGGGGGTCGGGGACGCTGTGGGGGGTGGCCAGGGGCCCTGCACCCTGCAATGGGGGGGGTGAGGAGCCCTGGTGGGGCAGCTGGGGGCCCTGCAGTGGGGTGAGGGGTAGGGGGCCCCATGGGCGGCAGCCAAGGACCCTGCAGTGGGGTGGGGGGTGGGGGGGCAGCCAGGGGCCCTGCAGTGGGGTGGGGGGGTCAGGGGGTTGGGGGGGCAGCCAGGGGTCCTGCACACTTCAGTGGGGGGGGTTGGGGACCCTGGGGGGTGGCTGGGGGCCCTGCACCCTGCAGTGGGGTCCCCGCCCCCCAGCGAAGATCTCTTCCCCCCCAGATGACTTTGAGGCGCTGTGCAATGTCCTGCGCCCCCCCAGCTACAACCCGGCCCGGCCCGGCCTGGGACTGCCCTACGAATACGGCCCGGAGTTCGTTCCCGGCTACGGGCTGCCCTATGGCCCCGAGCTGTTCGCCGGCTCCGCAGCACGGGGCCCCCAGCCCGGCCTGCGCCCCGACTATGACCCCTATGCCCTGGGGGGCTACGCCGGGCGCCGCGACTCGCTCTACAGCCCCCCCACCTACGAGGCCAGCGACTTCGAGGACCTGACCTACGTGGACGCCCGCCCGGAGGAGCCGCCCGCCCCCTACCGGCGCCCTGACCCCCCCCGCACCTACCGGCCCCGCAGCCCCCCGGACCCTGAGCCTGGCCCCGCCTGGCACTACCCCCCCCATCCCGCCAGCCCCTTCCCCGAGCAGCCAGGCCGGGCCAGCGAGACCCACGTCGGTGAGTGTCGGGGGGAGGAGCACCAGGCATGGGGGGTGATGGAGGGGGTGGGGCGGCAGGAGCAGACACCGGGCGTGGGGGCACTGGGGGGAGGAGTGCCGGGCATGGGGGGAGGAGGGGTGTCGGGCAAGGGGGGGCTGAGGGGAGGAGCAGACGCTGGGTAAGGGGGGGCTGGGGGAGGAGCAGACGCCGGGCGTGGGGGCTGCTCCAGGTCAGGCAGTGGTAGCTCCCCCAGAGGACCCCCTTGGAGCAGGGGTGGGAGCAGGGCGAGCAGGGGCTCCAGCAGCAGCGGGGGGGCTGGCGCTGATGCCCCGGTGCCCCCCCAGAGCGGTTCGAGGGGCTGCGGGCCGAAGAGTGCGGGGTCCTGAACGGCTGCGAGAACGGGCGCTGCGTCCGCGTGCCTGACGGCTTCACCTGCCGCTGCGACCCGGGCTTCCGGCTGGACACCGCCCACATGGCCTGCCTGGGTGAGCCCTGCCCCACGGCCAGCCCCCCTCTACTGCCCCATGGCCTGCCTGGGTGAGCTCTGCCCCACGGCCAGCCCCCCTCCACTGCCCCATGGCCTGCCTGGGT